TTCTTCTGAATGTACAGAGACTACGTTATCATTGGCATATTGGAGTTCCATAAAAGACTTTGTAGGTCTTCTGAATGAGCACAGACTACGTTATCATCGGCATATTGGGAGTTTCTAACAGATATTCACAAAGTCGGGTCACAACAGTCCATTTTATTTAGTGCGGAAAAATACGGAAGTAACAGAATAAACCAAAAGCTTCCACAACTTTTGGGGGAAAATCCTTTCCGTTTCTAGAAAAATAACCCGTCTATTTCAACTAGAAAACATAGTTCGGCATTCTTCGTCCGGGAAGAAATATTTGAATATTTTGCATATATAATTAACTCTCCATTAATTAGCCAAAAAAAAAAAGGACGAAAAAATACTTTAAATAAATATTAAAAATCCATGTTTAGTGCAGGAAAGCGAGTGTTGCATTGAGTTAGCTTTCTTAATTAGCCTATGTGTGCATTGGAATATTAATATCGCATCAGGGAATGGTATAGTATTCGTTAGGCTGATTATTATTATTATTATTATTATTATTATTATTATTATGTGGAAAAAAATCTGGAAATATTCTATAAGAGTATATTTAAAATATGAATTATTATTATTATTATTAAGTGGGAAAAATCTGGAAATATTCAATTAAAATGTATTTAAAATAATAATAATAATAATAATAATAATAATAATAATAATGTGTGGAAAAATCTGGAAATATTAAATAAGAATATAATTGAAATAATAATAATAATTATAATTATTATTATTACATGGGAAAAAAATATGGAAATATTCAATAAGAGTATATTTAAAATATCTATTATTATTATTATTACGTGGGAAAATCTGGAAATATTCTATTAAAATATATTTAAAATAATAATAATAATAATAATAATTGTGTGGAAAAATCTGGAAACATTAAGAGTACATTTAAAATATGAATTATAATAATTATTGTGTGGAAAAATTTTGGAAATATTAAATAAGAATATATTTAAAATAATAATTATTATTGCATGAAAAAAATGGAAATATTCAATGAAAATATATTTTAAATTATTATTATTATTATTATTATTATGGGGAAAATCTGGAAATATTCAATAAGAGTATATTTAAAATATCTATTATTATTATTATTATGGGGAAAATCTGGAAATATTCAATAAAATGTGAATAATAATATTGTGTGAAAAATGGAAAATATTCAATAAAATATATTGTGAAAAATGGAACATATTAAATAAAATATATTTAATAATAATAATAATAATAATATTTCTGTGCTGTGAAAAAATTGGAAATATTCAATGAAAATATATTTTAAATTATTATGGAGAAAATCAGGAAATGTTCAATACAATTTTAATAATAATAATAATGTGTGAAGAGTTGAAAATATTCAATAAAATATATTTAATGATAATAATATTTCTGTGAAAAAAATTGGAAATATTCAATTAAAATATTATTATTATTATTATTATTATTATTATTATTATTATTGTGTGGAAAAAACCTGGAAATATTGAATTCAAATATATACTTAATAATCATAATAATAATTATAATCACCTTCCTAACCTATTGCTTGCTGGGTCCTGAATCCGGTTCTTTGACTTCATTATTATTATTATTATTATTATTATTATTATTATTATTATTATTAGCCTTCCAAATAAATAGGGTTTAAGTTTTGACCTAATTTCAGAGAAAATAATAATTTCTTCTCAGAATAAATACTGCAGCTTCTTAATGGTTTCCAAACCGAGTCCAAACTGAGTCCGAGGCTCCTTGTCGTCCGATTGGTCATTTCGGAGACATCAAATTAATTAATCCCTGGTTGCTAATTAATCCACGACGGCGGAGCTACACATAGTGTTCATGCCACAGGCTCGGCTTCCACGGTACAAATAGTAGTAGCCCTGGAAAAAAGACATAATAATAATAATAATAGCAACAACAACAACAGTAAAAACTCTTCAGAGTTTCCCTATGGAGAAAAAAAGTGGGGTATAAATAAACATAATAATAATAATAATAATAATAATAATAATAATAATAATAATAATAATAAAAAGCTGTTTTGAGTCTCCTTATGGATATAAATGAACATAATAATAAATAATAAAAATACATATTCACTTGTTTGTGGAGATAAAAAGGGGGATATAATAATAATAATAATAATAATAATAATAGATACTCGCAGGAACACGTCAGCAAGCGAGAGTCCAAAAGTGGCAGGCTAAAACCTGAAACCTCAACCCATGTGTTACTGTGAGTTTTTCGAGCTGTCTGGCCATGTTCCAGAAGCATTCTCTCCTGACGTTTCACCCATGTCTACGGCTTGCTGTGAGTTTTCTGGGCTGTCTGGCCATGTTCCAGAAGCATTCCCTCCTGACATTTCACCCACGTCTATGGCAGGCATCCTCAGAAGTTGTGGGTGGGAAAAAGAACTATTGTTTGCTGGAGGGAAGTGTGAATGTTGCCATTGGTCACCTTGATAAGCACTGAATAGCCTTGCAGCTTTAAAGCCTGGCTGCTTCCTGCCTGGGGGAATCCTTTGTTGGGAGGCGTTAGCCTGGAAAACTCACAGCAACCCAGTGATTCTGGACATGAAAGCCTTCGACAACACAGGATATATTCCTTTCCTTTTTCCTCCTTTATCCGATTTGTTGTCGATCTGCTTTGTTGTTGGTAATAATAATAATAATTATTATTATTATTATTATTAATAATAATAATAATTATTAATAATAATAATAATAATAACTTTGTGTTGCTGTGAGTTTTCCAGGCAGTCTGGCCATGTTCCTGAAGCATTATATCCTAATAACAATAATAATAATAATAATAATAATAATAAGTCATACTGTAGGATCTATATAGCAATATTAAATAACTACTCACAAGCCGGCTTGCTTTGAAATGGATATATTGCTTGTTTCTTTGCAACAAAGAAAGACACTACTGACTTTTTCCCACCAGGAGGTCATGGAGGGAACTTGTGATGTCTTCATGCCGTCAGAAATTGACTCCTGACATAATAATAGTAATAATAATAATAATAATAATAATAATAATAATAATAACGTACCTTTTCTCCCCAGTCTTCGCCCCAACTGTTCTTGATGGCCCAGAACGGAAGCGTCCCACCTGGGAAAGGGAAGGCAGGTTCATTTCATTGATATTTACCAATCAATCAATCAATTGATGAAGCCATTGATCAGATCACAAATTTGCTTTGGAACAACACTATTCCAACCTCAAGTCAAGACAGAGTATAGTAGACGAGTGATGGCCGTTGTACTTACGCGTGCCATAGCCCACCAAGAGGACGGCGTGGTCTATCATCCACGGGTTGCAAAGGAGGAAGAAGGGATGGGAGACGCCCTTCCTGTAGAACTGCAGAAAATGGGAATTAGAAATAATTGAAAATATGAGTATTGTATGTGTGTGATATATATATATATACATATATGAACAGTATGGACAAACCCCTTCTATAAGAGACATTGGTCTCAAATAATAATAATAATAATAATAATAATAATAACAACAACAGCAGGATTGCAGAGAAACAACTAGCATAATAATAAAGCATTTGACTCACTGCCACATTGTTGGATTATCAAATGTCTAGATGTCATCGGGGTTTGTGAAAACAACTGAGGATTTAAAGATCGAACTGCAAAGACTCAAGGGGACAGTATAATAAGAACAGTATGGACAAACCCCTTCTATAAGAGACATTGGTCTCATAATAATAATAATAATAATAATAATAATAATAATAATAGTAATAATAACAATAATAATAATAATAATTTAAAGCATTATTATTGTTTTATATATATTTTCAAATAGTATGGACAAACTCTTCATAAAAGAGACTTTGGTCTCCTTTGGGAGAGATATAAATCAACACAATAATAATGGTAATAATGATGATGATATAAGAGGACAGCTGCTTTGAGTCCCCTTAGGAAGAGATAACGTAGGGTATAAAAAAACAATAATAGTAATAGTAATAGTAATAATAATAATAATAATAATAATAATAATAGATAGCTTCTTTGAGTCTCCTTAGGGAGAGAAAAAGGGGGATATAAATACTACTACTACTACTATTACTACTAATAATAATACTAATATTTACATATCTGCTGAGTCACCTTAGGAAGAGATAAATAAACAACAACAGTAGTAGTAGTAGTAATAATAATAATAGATAGCTCCTTTGAGTCTCCTTAGGGAGAGAAAAGAGGGGATATAAATACTCCTACTACTACTAATAATAGTTACATAGCTGCTTTGAATTTCCTTTGGAAGAGATAAAGCGGGGTATAAATAAACAATAATAATAGTAATAATAATAATAATAGCTTCTTTGAGTGGAAGAGATAAAGCGGGGTATAAATAAACAATAATAGTAATAATAATAATAATAATAATAATAATAATAATAATAATAATAATAGATAGCTTCTTTAAGTCTCCTTAGGGAGAGAAAAAGGGAGATATAAATACTACTACTACTACTACTACTACTACTAGATACACAGCTTCTTTGAGTCCTTTGGAAGAGATAAAGCGGGGTATAAATAAACAATAATAGTAATAGTAATAATAATAATAATAATAATAATAATAATAGATAGCTTCTTTGAGTGGAAGAGATAAAGCGGGGTATAAATAAACAATAATAATAGTAATAATAATATTATTATTTTGAGTCTCCTTAGGGAGAGATAAAGTGGGGTATAAATATTAATAATAGTAATAATAATAGATTCACAGCTGCTTTGAGTCTCCTTTGGGAGACGTAAAGTGGGGTATATATAAACATAAACATAATAATAATAATAATAATAGTAATAATAATAATCTTGTTATTTTTGCTTCTGACTCAGGACGGAGGCTCCTGGACCCCGTTTCTCATGACGCAGAGAAGGATATGAATATTTATGGCAAGTATTGAATATTTACATGTAATATATATATATATAAGTATATATATTGTAATGAAAGGCAGGGGGAAGAGGGCCACTCCACCTGCATGGCGAAGGCGTTGAGGGCGATGGAGATGGGCCCGTGCTTGGCCAGCCAGGCGGCGATCTCTGAAAGAACCAAAGAACGAAAGAACGAGGTTCAAATCAGGGGAGGAATGCCCCGCCAAGCCCTGCAGTCGCGCTCAAAACGGTCCCCAGTCGAAACGGACCTTTCTCGTCCCGAGAGATGGCCACGGAGCTGTTGATGTAAACGGCCACCTTCTCCTTGGAGAAGTTACATTTCTGCTCAAAGCCCTCGTAGCTGTAGTCGCCCTCCGTCTCCAGGCCGCCTGGGAAAAGGGAAAGGAAGGAAGAAGGTTGGAATCGAAATGAATGTGCACAGACTACGTTATCATCGGCATATTGGAGTTCCATAACAGACACGGTCAGTCTTTTTCTGAATGTGCACAGCGGTTCTCAAACAGTGCTCCGAGGAGCCCCTGGGGTTGGTTGTATTATTAATATTATATTACTATTAATTATATTATTACATTACTATTACTATTATTATATTACTATTAATTATATTATTATTACGTTACCATTATTATATTACTATTATTCATATTATTACTACATTACTATTACTGTTAATTATATTATTATATTACTATTAATTATATTATTACATTATTATTACTATTATTATATTACTATTATTATTACATTACTATTACTACTATAGTACTATTACTATTAATTATATTATTATTACATTACTATTACTATTATATTACTATTAATTTTATTATTATTACATTATTATTATTATATTACTATTAATTAATTAATTATTATATTACTATTACTATTATTATTATATTACTATTAATTATATTATTATTACAT